TGGTCTGTTAAGGGGCAGCAGGGAGATGACGACAATGCCATAGCGGGGCAGGTCAAATCAACCCCTGCACTCCAGGTAGGGATTTGTCCTGTTTGATCTCCAAATAGAAATACAAGAAGAACTTAAGAGTCCTTCCAGTAAGTTGAGGTGCATTGCAGAGGAAGCATATTACATGTGTTTCCAAAACAAGCAGTGAAAGTACAGGATGTTCAATTTAAAGAATCTGGAAAGAACAGATAATAACTGCATGGCTACAACTACAGCCTGTGAGTGCTTACAGTCATATGCTGTGGTTCCATAAGCCAACAGAACCACCAGCTGCTCCAAAAAACAACTCTCCCACTTCCCATTCCTGTCACTCCTTCCCATTCACACCAGCAACTGGGAGCTGCACCAAGCTGTATTGGTTCATGCTTGTGCCAGCACCAGCAGCAGGATTGGAGAAGCAGAGATGAGAGTGAAAAGCTGGAAATGATTGTGGCATTGTCACCTCAAATTAAACTCATCTGCCCTTAAAAGACACATGTGATCTTCCAGCCCTCATACTCACCGTGAGGGCAACAGGTCTGACTCATCCTGCCATAAAGGTGCAGGTTCTTCTGTCAAGACCCATGGGCTCCTCTCTAGGCTGAGCTTCACAGCATAGAACACTTCCTTTTGACCCCAAAGCTCATGCAAGAGGCTGTTGTGCAGCCACACAAGTACCACACTTACCAGTGCTCAACAACCAGAGAGGAAAAACCCATGTGCCTGAGCAATTGAGAACACTATTGAGAACTGTACTGGTTGCACATGCTCAGATGGACAAACTAACACCTTGCAGATGAGCTTCAGCTCCTGCACCACCAATTTCCTGCTGTTTGTTTTCATACATTTTTTCTGCTTCAGTTTTTCCTTTGTGATACACAGAATATCTTTTTCCTTTGTGATACACAGAATACCCTCTTCCATTCAGCAAGATTCCTGACGTAGCTATGGCTGGGTAAATGGCTGTGGACTACACTTCAGGTATGTGAGAGCATACCTAAAAGCAAGTGAAAACCTCCTACTACATATTTTATTATGTATGATAAATGGAAATTATACCTGTAAGAATAGAGGGTGGAATCTGATGGTAGAGTACAAGCGAAGAGCAAACAAATACAGAATGTATTTTGGGGTGGAACACCCCATCCGCCAAATGTCCTGAAGGTCACAAACCAGTTCAGTCAGGAGACCGTTACCAAAACAGGATAGCCAAGCCTGAAAGAGCTAGTGAAGGGTAACTTTCAGCCCTAAGAAAAACAGGGGGTTGTGGCACATCAAAACTGGAATGATCACATGCATTACTGATTTAATGCTTTATAGCTCTTTCAGAATGCGGGAGGATATGACAGAACTTCCAGTGTTTAGGGTGCTACACTTATTGCTGAGTGCAAGGCAAGTGCACAGGGACACAAGAAGAGCACTTACAGGGACACTGCATGTCTCCTTGCATGATGCTGCAGTGAGCCCACAAGGATGTCACTAGCTGGAAACTTCACCTGCTCAAACAAGTTCCAAGGTGTCCCAGATTATATAGTTCAAAACTCAGATTATATAGTTCAAAGATTACATAATATGAGCTCCCTTCCAGTTCCTACACCGCAAATCCACAACACTTTGCTCAAACTGGCAGATGCAGCAGACACAACAAATGCAGAAGCCATACCAGTTGAAGCATCACTGTTCCCACCAGAAGACATTCCCATGCTTCTCCCTGAATCAGCACTGTACTATGCTGGCAGGTTTAAAGGGGTGAGAAGCAACCTGTTATAACATTATAGCTGAGCAATTATGCCACTCCTTAGAGCTGTCAAGCAGTGTTACAATACAGTTTACATGCAGATTATTTACAAATGAGTTCAAGAGATACTGAACTTTAATGTTACACTGGCAGTTGCACAAAGCTTGGCAGAGTCTAAGATAAATTCTCCCATTTCTCCAGTACATACTTGTAACCTTATCCTGTTTCACAGGATCTCATCCTGCATGTAACATCTGCCAAAAACCCCTACACACAGCTCCAGGTCCACTCTCAACCTGCTACACTCCCTCTGTCCCCAAGCTCATGAAAAACACCTTCCCTAGACAGCTGCTTCAAAGAAATTCATGTCTACAGATGCTTTGATAAACAGTCTGTTACCAGAAGGATATATCTATCAGGTAGCATAACTGGCGATTCAGAGATAGGGTCCCCTGGTACACTTCCATTATGTTTTCTTACTGCTATTACTCAGCAGAACTACTGATGAAAGTCAGTGGGATGATAAGACAAATAGTAAAAGACAAATAAAGTCATCATGTGTTGTGTTGACAGCAGCCTGCAATAGCGAGCTTCATTATTTATGTGACAAAGAGGATTAGTGACACTGTACATTAGCATCCAAGACCTGGACAGACTGTCAGAGAAAGGCAGGTGGGATTATACAGGAGAAAGACTTACACTGCCCTGTGAGTACTACAGGGGTCAGAAAATCACTTCATTCTGCTCTAAACCTGCAAGGTGGGACATTTTGGCTGACATTGTCTTTCTGATAGCAGCTTTGGACAAATTATTGCGTGTGTGGTTTTATATATTCCAACTCTGACAGTTTCAGAAGATGTCCTTTCCTGCACAATAACGACATTTCAACCTCAGCACATAATTCAGATCTCATCATTTCACTGGACACTTGCAAGATGAGAGCTCTGAAAAAGGTCTCACTTTCATCTGCGTGCTCCTGAGGCAAAATGAAAACCAGAGGGGAGCACCTGATGAAGATTCTGTTAATGGGATCACCTCCAATTTTCCTTATTGGGACTGAACACAGCATATAAATTCAGACATAAAGAATTATTTTTTATCAGCATCCCACAAGCCAGATGATTTTTTTCCATCCAACAGCAGCTTTGAGAGACAGAAAGGATATTAAAGAGCCTCGTTTGAAATATGAGCATCTCAAAAGCATGTCCAGATACTGAATTACACGGCTCAAATTGTCATTTAAAGTCATCTTTTTATATGTCACAGACTCTAGCCTATTATCATCTAGCCTAGATTAGGACAGCACAGTACAAGGCAGGATCTGAGCTTCACAGTGTAAATACACTAGGCAACTTGCTCCAGTTTGCTCCCAGAAGAAAGAAACTCCATGTCCTGCACTTCTATTTTGACCTGCTGTGCAATTTCTGTAAATTGCTCCTCCTCCGTGAAGTACATTAATTGGATGTACCATAGCTCTGTGTCCAATACAGGCAGTAGGTTAACTCATGATCAGCTGGAAGAGCTTTGCACAGCTCAGCCTCTAACGTTAACTGAGTGCAAGATTCCACAATGCAGCATAATTCATGCTGCCAAGAGTACGACGTGCCTTCACCTGTGCCTGTCATAGGAAAATCTGGAATCTAGGGTACACCCACAGGGACTTGCAAGACAGACATTGTCACATACAGTGATCATCTAACATTCAACAGCTACATCCAAGCAGAAGTTCTTTACTGCTAGGGTGGTGAGGCACTGGAATAGGTTGCCCAGGGAAGTGAGGAACGCTCCATCCCTGGCAGTGTTCAAGGCCAGGCTGGACAGGGCCTTGGGTGACATGGTCTAGTGTGAGGTGTCCCTGCCCATGGCAGGGGGTTGGAACTCAATGATCTTAAGGTCCTTTCTAACCCAAGCCATTCTACGATAAGGAGCACTTAAGGCAGAAACGTGAAGGACAAAGCTTTGCGGTGTCCCATGGTTGAGGACTGACACCATGAATGTGGGACTCCTTGCGCCAGGCAGTGCCCACCAACACGAGTAAAACTAATGAAACAGCATTCAAAACAGCTGGGAAGTGGACATGCACTCCTGGAAACACTGTTCCAGCCTCTGAGGCTTTGTATTTGGGTGCTATGTACCAAAATATCTACACATTACCCCAGCCTGGGCCACAACATACTGATCCACAGAAAGAGTATCAGCCTCTGATGCTCCTTTCCCAAACAACAGTTAAAGAAAACATCAGCTTCAAGCTTCATTCTGCCGCACCACAGGAAAAATGCTAAAATGAAAACTGGAAGGATGAGCCTGGAGAAGGCATTGAAGGGACTAACCCTAGGTCAGAGGGATGAGATAAAGGTTTTCAGACTGCTAATTCATCTAAACATTGCTGTGGTCAGGGCCCATGGGCTTTGGGAGTTTCATCTACATAACATTCAAATTTAATGGACTGGGGAGTTTTCAGGGTTTGCTTTTTTTTTTTTTTCCTCTTGGCAAAGGCGTGTTTGTAAAAGGAGAAGTATTACAACTAAGATAGAAAATGCAGTCCTCCCCTCCTTTCCCCAGACACATATGGAGCACACTAAATGTACACTGCAGCAGTCAATAGCTGGTGCAGAAAGTCAGGTGGAAAGGGTCATAGCATCATAGACTGGTTTGGTCATAGACCTCTTGTCCTATCACTACAGTTCCCGATGAAGAGTCCCTCTCCAGCATCCCTATAGGCCCCCTTCTGATACTGATCATTCTGGGGTTCTTCAGCTAGAGTTTGATTGATCAGCTCCTGCTGTATGAAATGTTTCTGCAACTGTTTCTGCAAAGAAACTAACAAAGCCCTACTAGACTGCATTTAGTTTAGACATTTAGCATGGCATGTGAACAAGCTAAATCAGCCTGCTGCGAGCACACCTACTTCCAGCACAGTATCTAATGAAAAAAATGTAAGGTTTCTTTTTGTTCACAGTTTTTATCTCCTTTTCCTCAAACCTGGTGACCCTGTGTGACAAAGATTTATACAACCAGCAGTCTAAAAGGGGTCACTGCAGAGCAAGCAAGCATAAAATGGAAATGGAAGACGTAGAGAGAAATTAAACCTAGATTCACGTTGCACAATTATCCCTGTAAATTCAGGAGCTCAGAGGAGCCAGCAGTGTGCTGTTACTTTTCACTAAGCACATCTGAGTGATTTACAAGTGACCATCAATTCAGCTCAAAACAACAACTTAAGTCTTGAAATTACCTTGACTTGCTACTCGCTGCTTTGAATATGAGCTGTGACGCTCCGCTTTCCGGTCTGCAAGCCTCAATTCCCATGAGGAAAGGCAGTAATAGCTGAGATCTTCAGCAAGATATTTCTAAAACCATCCTTTTGTTGAGATTGCTGAGGAACATTCACTGGGGAAAGAAAAAAGAGAAATGAACACCGAAGAACAGAAAGTCTTTTTGCATTGATTTATTTTCCAGTTCACATTCTTAAGCACTGCATTATCCATCTTCCATATAAAATGATGTATTTATTACTATCTCTTTTCCAGACATCCCACAATATATACCAAGAATTCTCCTTACAGAGAACTCTGAGCCCAAGGACACATCTAAGGGGATGGGTACAAGCAAACCCAAGCTTCTTTGCCTTTCCCTTCCAACTTAGTGCACTAAGAACAACGTAGGTCTCTACTCTTGCTTCGTAGACACGTTCAAGGACTCCAGATGTGTGAGGCAAAAGAACGGTTTAGGACTGGCCATGTGCACTCCATATTAACACAAAAGTATCTGGTGGATTAGAGAATAAACTAGTGCTTCTATATTACTGCTGCTGCTTTTATTCTCCAGAGGACTTTAAAAGTGTGTGTATTTATTCTGGGAAGAATCCAAACAACTTTCATTCACTTGTCCTATAAAACTATAATAGCTGAGTCAGTCTTTAAAAGCATTTCTCTTTTTAGCTTTGTTTCCTTCATAGAGTACTTATTTATTTACCATAAAAATGGAATGGATCAATTTTTATTTACTTGAAAATGTGACCATTTTCTTTCCAGAACTGTTTGGAAGAGCTATTTCCCAGCTGTAATCTCTTTTACCATATCAATAGGCACCGATGCCTTCAATCCTGAAGCAGTTCTGCCTCAACTGCAGCACTAAATGAAAATTAGTATTTTTTCAGGAAAACAACAACAACACAGCACAATCCCACAATTCAGTAATGTCCTAACTGGAAGACTAAGAACTCAGTGACATGTTTTAGTGGTGGTCTTGGCAATCCTGGGATAATGGTTGGACTTGATGATCTTAAAGGTCTTTGCCAACGCAGCTGATTCTATTTCATAGATAAACTGCTAAATTATTCCCTACTTTGTAAGGTGAGTTTGATAGCCCAGAAAGTATAAAGCAACTATAAGACCTAACAAACACCAGGCAAATGATATTCCACATAATCTATACTCAAATTACCCTCCTGATAAGGAATGTGGTCTTAACACACTGGGTTTCATGCTCTGGGTCACAGAGGATGACCCGAGTCTGTTTTACAGCCTGTATTTCAGTGAAAGGAGTGACTCCCTCCTTTTCAATGGGAGATTACAAGAAAAAGGAAAACCAACCAGTACAATAACAAATTCCTGAAGAGCAGTAAGACTTTACACCACTCAAATGAAGACACACTAGAAGGCATAGAAAAGGACTATGGACTGGTACAAGGCAGACATTTCAGGACACTTCTGAACACTACTGAAACTGACAACGCTTTAGTATTTTGCTGCTCTGATATCTAAACAGGCTCCAATTCATACAGACAAAATCTTCATAGAATAAGTATCATCTAGTCCAATGAGCAGGGACATCTTGAACTAGATCAGGTGGCTATCGCCTTCTTTCAATCCCACTGGATAAAGTTCACATATATACTAATGTAACTTGTACACTGATCTGTTCATCATATATCTGGCAGAGGCACCTCTGCACCCTGACCCTAATCACATCCTGACCCAGCCTTTCCACAGGGGTTGAATCAGTTCCACTCCACACTGCAGAACTCATAGGCTTGATAAACCCACTGCCCTTCACTCAGTCCTGGCTGGAGGTTACAAATGAATCACTTCTAAATTTACTCACACAACAGCAAAGTAAACTGAGACAAGCATTTCCCAACACACTAAAAGCATTAATACATCAGTTACCTAAGTGAATTAAGATGCACTTTCTGTGCCCTATGGCAAGCTGAGCTATCCTTCTATTAAAGTTTGGTTGGAAGAAGAATTAATACACATGTATAAGCTTTGAAAGAGATCTGTCATGTATGAAGAACAGCTGCTGATATTTATGCCCTACAGAGAGGCTCACTTGGAGTTTGATTACAATAGTCTAATGCCCTGATTTGTGAATTACACTCAGGAACAATTTATCCCCTCATGCAGATGTGAGCTTAACCTCATCAGTCCTGTCTGACGTTCCCAGTGGTGCTTTTAAAGCTTTTGGGCACATTTGATCATGGAGCCATCTTGGTAATTCTGCTTGAGGGGATTTGTCAAAGCCATTAGAGTGCAGGCTGGATGCCAGTGTCTGAAGGATGTAGTATCACCTGTGTTAGCCTTCATTAGCTGGTCAGGACTATTATATAGTGAGCTACTTTAAAAGAGACAAGCCTCAAACTAAAAGCTTTACACAAAGCTTAATCCAAATCCTTAAGATCCAAAACATTATCATTCATTCTCTTCCTATTCATTTTCAGCTCTGCATGATGTGTTACATCAGGAAAGCCAAAGACAACAGTCAGTACCCCAAAGAAGGCTGTACTTTCAGTATTTCCAATGCAATCAAAGACAGGAAAAACGATAAAGGGGACACAAACCCAAACCCAGTCACAAAGCTGAACTGTGTCCAGGCTTACTCAGAAGAAGGGAAGTTCAAGGTCCTGCAGACAGTTTGGCCCTTCAGAAGCAAAGGAAAGACTTGGAAACAGCCAATTACCCCCTCTTTGAAAACCTGGCATTACCAGTTGCTATCTTTGTTCACCTCATAAACTGCAGATATTCGGAACTTGGTCGGATTGTACACAGGACCCTCAGCAGTTTGGCAGCTGAAGACAACACACCCAGAGCACGCAGAACTGCCTGTGTAATCCACGTTCCAAACCCCAACCAGCAATGGGAACCAAGGGAATGGGTTGCAGAGGGTGTCAATACAACACAACAATTCACAAGTGGGAAAGTACACAGGAACCTTCCATCCAATGTTTCAGCTTGTTCTGTGGCATATGTTGGTCCAGTCCAGTAAGTGGGAAGATGAATGTGTTCTCCTGGGAGAGAAGAGGCAGGGAGGTTTTATTCCATTCCAGCCCACTTGCAATCTTTTATTTTTATGCTGATAATAATAAGACTTTGCATTTATAGAGCATGCTACAAACACACACATCCACCATGCCTCTTGGAGTCTGGGAAAGAAGTGCTGGATAGCAGTGGAAACAGGGCACAGGGTGAAGTGGCAGAGCCCAAAGCAGAGTAAGGATGGGCACTTTGGATCTCCCGGTTCCTCTGCCTCACACTCATTCTTGAATGGTCTGTTTTCCAAGGAACTTAAAAAACTTGCTTGGAAAATGTGATCAGTACATTTTCAGCTTGGTTTTCCTTGGAAAATGGTTCATGTAACCACACTGGATGCCAGCCCCAAGAAACTTTCAAATCTGCTAACTGGTTTCAGTCAAATTTGAGAACCCTGAAAAACACCAGTACAACAGAACTGAGCAGGGAACTGGGTGTCTTGGCGGGCAATGGAGTTTAGAAAAGAGAATGTTGTGGTGAAAGAGAATTTCTAGCATTAATTCACGAACCAACTGCCTGAAGAGTCATTCCCTTGGTTTGCTTCTCTGTTAGCATCTGAATGCAAGATATGGCAATAAGATCATGTGGAATATGTATGAGATTAGCTCACTGCTCTTAAGACGGAAGTGGATTCACAGTAACACAGTTGATCCTAGTTCTCAAGTTATTTGTTCAGATTGAAGTGATGCTGTACACGAAGATATTGAGTACCAGCTCAAAATTGTGCAGTGGCTGATGAACCCCCCCAAAGTCAGTAAAAAATCATTTGTAAGTTAGGATGGGCTATATTCCAGTATCTGAAGGGGGCCTACATGACTGCTGGAGAGGGACTCTTCATCAGGGACTGTAGTGATAGGACAAGGGGTGATGGGTTCAAACTGAAACAGGGGAAGTTCAGGTTAGATATAAGGCAGAAGTTCTTTACTGTGAGGGCAGTGAAGCACTGGCACAGGGTGCCCAGAGAAGTGGTGAATGCTCCATCCCTGGGCAGTGTTCAGGGCCAGGTTGGACAGAGCCTTGGGTGACATGGTTTAGTGTGAGGTGTCCCTGTCCACAGCAGAGGGGTTGGAACTGGATGATCTTAAGGTCCTTTCCAACCCTAACTATTCTATGATTCTATGACATCTGTGGCCTGACATCAGCTTTACATACAGTTACACACATATTTGTTCAGTGGCGCTGGTAAGGCCAGGCAAGGAGCTAGTCAGGAACAACTAAGTCCTGTTCTAACAGCCTTGGTCCAGACTGAGTGCAAGGCTGTATCTGTTGTTCTGATGCGCGGATTGACTCCACAACTCGTTAAAGTTGTAAAGTAGGTATGCTTTTTATTCAGTGCTGAGACGCACGGGGATAATTCCTCAAAGTCATGCGTGCCTCAGTGTTGTTTCCCTCTACATTTATAAGGTTGCACCATACGCCTATACATATTCATGTCCTATCCCCGCTTCATATTACAGTGAGCTAGAAGGTCCTTTGCACCTGCGCAGTGCCCCCTCTGGTCATGGGCAGGGGTCTCAAGATGAAGTAAATGAGTCTTCCTCCTGTGGGTAGGGGTCTTCAAGATGAAGTAAATGAGTCTTCCTCTTCTTCACTTATGGCCTTAGGGTTTGGTCCCAGCCATCAACCATCTGCTTCTCCCCCTTAACAGTAGATTCAGGGGTCTGCTTTTTCCTATCAATAGGTGCTTATCAGTAGAATCAGGTGTCTGTTTTTCCTTGTCAATAGAACCAAGTGTCTGCTTTTCCTTGTCAATAGAACCAGGTGTCTGCTTCTCCTTATCAATAGCTAGTGCTTTTGTTCTGCTTAGTAGGCATGATAGGTACAGACAATACCTTTGCTTAAGCAATCCAATTCCTCAAACCCGCCTGTACAACCCCCTGTACAACCCCCCCCGTACATTGGTCAACCCTCTGCATCAGTTCCAGTACCCACCCCATTTTCTAGCTTGAGCCTATCCTTGGTGTAGAGGTGGTCCGTGATATATCTTTCAAAGCCTGCTCCTTCTTCACAACTTTCCTGCATGCTGCTCCTGACAGCCTTCAGCATTCCTCCTACCTTGGGGAGCACGTCTTGCAAAACTGAAATAAAAAGCCCAATGGGTTGTATCATCAAGGCAGCTTGCAAAGGGCACTTACTTGCTTGCACAGGGGTTTTACCAAACAGCTGCTGTTATTTCTTCACTTTTACCAGTGGAGAACCAGGTGAAAAGAACATGCGCTCGAGAAAGCCTTAGTTTATCAAGGGGGACACACTACACAAGTGTAATCTTACTGCAAATCAGCAGGAATTCTACACAGCATAGAGAAACGTGGATCTCTACATGTTTGGCCTATCTTTAAAGGTAAATCATCCTACAGATTTTTAGATTTATTCAACCAGTGTGGTAAAAATCCACTCTCTCCAGCATCTGAAGGCTGGGTTTTCCTCATCTCTTCACACAGTACTTAGGTTCCACCTCGTGGCTTTCAACAGCAATGAACAACAGACTAGAATGGCATTTTATTGCCTAAACGCTTCATTTTCCACTCTGTGTGTCTAGTTGCAGAAATCAACTAGAAAGAATCAGAGGCTTCTTTAGATACATAATTTCTCTTGCTATCTCCCCAGAAATTCTCTTGGTCCTCCTATGGGAAGTTCCCAGCTACAGTTACTCTAGTTTAAACATCTAAAGCACATGGGTATTAAGTTGAACTAAAGTTTATTGTTGTGCAAATGGCACCACGAGTATGGGCTAGCTAAGAGCATCAGGAGCTTTCAGACAAGCAATAAGCAGCGCTGATGTAGCTGTTAAAGCTGCGGCTGGTCCTTCACAGCTCAATACCAGAACTTGGTTGGTATGAACCAAGTGAGACACATCTCACTTAACCACTGACATCCTCATCATCGACCCCTTTCATAGTCAACTGAGAAACAAGCACTTGTAGACTGTGATTCAAATGAGTTACTTTAGAGGTTTAACCTCAGACAAGATGAACTGCACCCTGAAGTGTCTCCCTTCCTCACTTCCATTACAAATAGAAGTTATAGAGCTTGCAGATAGCATGGTGCCCCCACCTTGAATCCCACCCAAGGTGTAGGACTTAATACCCTGCTACACAGTGTAGCCCACCTTGCAGTGCGCTCTAAGCAGGCAGCAGAAGGACTCTGGAAGCAACAACAGCAGTTACAGAGTGCACCTAAGTTAAAAAGCAGCAGCTATAGGTACACCTACTACCACAGAAAGCTTGAATTCGACAATGTTCTGTTCTCAGAATACATTTCACCCTGTTGCTCAGTGCTATGAAACTGACCAGGGTAGGTTTATTTCATAGACAGTTCTGCTCCTGCCTACTTTAAGCTTACAGAACAAGCTACACTTGTGTTTCAGTTCCCTGAGGCACAACACCCACCACAGACATCTTATCCCTTTAGGAAGGGCTCTAAAGAGTCACCATCTTCAAAGCAAAGGGGGGGGAAAAGCAACCAAAGAAATGTGAGTTTATCAGCTGCCACATTAGGCTCAAAAGCAGGTATTTTAAAGTTATTTTAGCGTTTTACATAAACAACAAGACAGAGTTCACCAGAACCAGTCCACTTTGTCCAGAGAGATCATGTCTATTTAAAGAGAAGGTGAAATAAGACATAAAACACGAGGACGTTGCCCCAGTTCATGATTTGTTGAGTGTGGGCTGGATGAAAGGTCTTTAACTCCTTAATGCAGCTTTTTCTGTCCATTCTCATTTCAAGGAGCCTTCCTCCTGCCCGCACACAGCTGGAGGCTTGCACCCAGCAAATCATGCCTGCTTGGCTAGAACATGACTGCAGCGTGCAGCGGAACAGCTCTGATTTACGACTGCCTCTTGGTTTCCTCTTAGCTTACCTCTTCACCTTCACCTAAGCTTTAAGGGGGGCTGCATGGGCCAGACTGGCTCTTTCATGCAGAGAAAAGGAGGAAATCTTTGCTGGTTTCAAACCTTCTTACTCTGTAATGGGAAACTAAGGCTGCACACTGCCTATCTGCTGTTGGGTTTATACCCCAGTCAGCCTACACTTTTCAACCTAACTATACCCATTCTGTAAGGCTTATGTCACAAAACCTGAGAAGATTTGACCATAATCCCTCAATTTAAACCCAGTTATTTTAAAATACTTGGTGCAAAACCCTATGTTGTACAGCCTTACCTCCCCAAATCCTGATTCCTACCACAGGGAGCAACTGCTGCGGACACTGCTAGATGGGTGGAGAGCATGGCTTCTCCCTGAAGCAATCCTCTCATGAGCCTCAACTGGCTACTGAAATACGTCTCAGCGCAGTGGCAGTTTCACCCTCAGGTGCAGTTTTACCCTCAGGTGAGCTCACCCCTGACCATGGGGGAAAACATACAGGAGACCGCGATTTGGACCCACACGTGCCTCGGCCACCGATGTGGCTTCTCCCGTGGAGGAAACGGGTGTGCGGGAAGCTCCGGGGGCCGGGCTCTGAGCCGGAGGTGCCGCAGGGGAAGCGGCCTTCACAGCCGCATGGGGCAGGAGAGCTGCTGGGGGCTGCCGCCCCTGCCCTCCGCTGTACGGGGGCGACAAAACGCGGCTGGCGTCGCCCCGAGGCGGGCGGAGAGCGGGACGCGGGGCGGGCGGTTGCTGCCCGCAGGAACAGTGCCCCAGCGGCGTTAGTTTCACCGCCGAGGCCTAGCGAGGCACAGGACAACCTGAGCCCGCCGGGGGCCGCCGTGGCACTTTCGTGCCTTAAGAGGGCTGATGAGCCCCACGGGCACCGGCGGCACCGTCACCTGCAGCCTCCGTGCGGCGGCGGCACCAGCACCGCGACCCGCAGCGCCTGTGAGGCGTTGGCGGCACCGCGACCCGCAGCCTCTATGAGGCGGTTCCAATGGCAGAGGTACACGGGCCGTCGGTAAGCAGAGAAGTGATAGGTGGCTCCATAGCTCAGTGGTTAGAGCACTGGTCTTGTAAACCAGGGGTCGCGAGTTCGATCCTCGCTGGGGCCTCTTGAGTTTTTCCCTGATTTTCTTTCTTTCTTCTTTTCCTGCCTTAAGGAAGCGCGACTGATAGACGGGAGGAGGCAGCCGCCAGCCGGGGATCGTCCCTCGCCGCCTGAAAATCTCAGCTTCGATAGGAGGCCGCTGCTTTCTGCATCCCAAAACGCTGCGTCCGGAGGGTGGCGGTACGAGACAAACGTTACCGGACGTTGCTAAACGTTAATGTGCGCTGCAAAGGGACGGCATGCGCTTCGGCTCAGTCTCAAAGCAAGGGTAGGAAGCCAAACGAGGGCCTGGCTCTGCTGTACAAAGAAATACACCTCTGTGGAAAAGAACATTTGGGGGCTATTACTGCCCTCTTCCAGCATGGATAATGCAACGCCTGGTCCTCACTCCCCAAATTCTCCATGCAGCAGCAGCCCATGGCATGTTAATTCCACAGCATATTATGGAGCGCCCCTCTAGCTCAGCTCCAAACCCACACTAGGGGAAAAAAAGAGGCCTCACCCATGCCCCACGTGCAGGCCAAGAGATGCTTTCCAGCATCCTTTAGAACCTGCCCATCACCCATACCTTGGAAAAAACGTGGCTTAAAAGGATGGTAATTTGATTGTCTGAAAGACAACTACTCTTAACATACACTCGTCACTGTGTTTCAGTTAGAAGACAAAAGAAGAAAGTGAGGTCACCGACATGCCCATTCTGTATTCTCAGATAAAAAGATGCAAGTCCTGAAAGTTGGAGGCACTTGGATTTATTAGGCAGTCGTACACAGCCAAATCCTACCGGTGACTATCCATCACAGACTCATAACTACTGCCATGAGAAGAGGACATCAGAGCAGGATTTGCAAAGACACTTAATAGTGGGAAGCTGGTGCTGCTGTGAGACACACACAGGGACTGCTAACACTGACACAAATGCTCCAGCCTCGGGAGCACTGGCACAAGCGAGAGGATTCTCCTTTATTTGGTCACTTGTCAAAACATTTGCCTCACCATCTTAGAAGTGACTTGCTTTCACTGTGACATCACTGAGCTTCAAGAGCTGCTTCTTAACCTGCCCTTCTTCCTCCTCTCCCGATTTTCCTTCACAGATGCTGCTTTCTGTGGAAGAAGGTTCTTGGTCCTGGTTAGGCGGGAGCTGCTCTTCTTTGGTGAAGGTGGTGCTGTTGTGGTTCTGTCAACATGTGCAGCCTTCTTCTGCTTTGGCTTGTGAGACTTAGCCTCAGCTTTGATTTTCTGTCTCTTTTTACCAGATGGAGCTGGTTTTGCTGTTGATGCTTTTATTTTGGTGGATGGGGTCTTTTTACCTTTCCGAGGAGCAGCTGCTGGGGTGGCTGCAGTGGGGGTAGAAGACTTCTTCAGAGGCTTGGTTGTTGAAGGTTCATTAAGCAGCTCAAGAACTGTCTCTGAGGAAAGTAATTAACATGGTTCAGCATCCCCATGCTTTAAGGCAAAAGGCTCATTCAAAGATATTATTGATATAAACCTTTATTAGAGCTGCAGTTAGGAGAAGTAGCTGACACTCTGAAAGAAGACATACACACTGTATAAACCTCTTCCATCAACAGAGGCCTGAGTTTCTGGAAATAAAATTTGTTTTAGAAATTATTAATGAGTATTTAAGGGAAATAAATGCAGGCAGAATATGACAAAGTCTCACACACTTCTGGCACACTGAACAATATGAACTTTTCATTCTACACTAATATCTGGAAATCCCATACAAGACAACTTCAACCTGCTAAATACTGTGTCTACTCCGTAAGATGCAACCCCTGTTCTAGTTGCATTAGACATCGTAAGACAGAAAAAGGAAGATTTAGTCCCCTATATGTACAGAGAAGGGATCAGGTGGCTCAAGGAGCTTATCACAGAGCCAGACACCCAAAACTTCACAGACCAAATCCAGTGCCTGAATCAAAGCTATCAGTTCCCTTGTGTGCCCATTTACATTATTGCTTAGCAACACTTTGGGGGGAAAAAAGATAATCAGAGGCTGGGATTAAAAAAAGCATGGCATGTAGTAGATGACAGAAGCCCACATTACATGTGGTAACCTAACTTCAACATTACTCCTGCACAGTGCTTTAGGCTTCTGCTAAAGACTTTAGTAACATGCCTCTAAGATGGTTCTGTGTTTTGCTTCTCAGTAAAATCAAAGCCTAGCAACTTACTTGCACGTGGAACAAATGGTATCCATTTACTCTTTGTTTTCACTGGAATGGGCTTGTATTTACACTTCCCTGGTGGAGCTCTCCTTCAAAAACAGAAAGCCATATGCAGATATCAGAGATTGTTATGGAAGTCTGTTTATTCCAGAAGCACACATAAATCCCCCATTGTACTTTGCTTCTGCTGGAAGAGGCATGGAAGCATTTTATGCACACAGAGTGTAACATAGGTGGAATTCAAGAGCCTAGCTCAGGGCTGCAAGCCATAAAATCCTTGTCTGATTAGCAGTAGCATCTGGGAGGCTGCACCTTCTCTTGCCTTATCCTTCTGGCCAACTTTCTGCCATCAGGAAAGTTGGCCAAAATACCTTGATCCAACAGGGATAGCTGGTTTGCTTGTGTGGGGCATGCGGGCTTGCCTGCATGAACTAATAGCCCACCACCAAATTCAGGGGTGCTGATGAGGTGTGTTCAGCTACATGTCCTGCTGCTGGAGGCACAGCACAACGCTGCTTCTAGAAAACTGGTGGATGCATTGGGTGAACTTCAGATTATCAGTCGTTTTGAGTTGTTTCACCAATACTGGCTCATGCATCCCACTTTGAAGTGGAGGGGTCTCATTCCTGCCCAGAAGGCTTGTCAGTGACAGCGCTTTCTGCTCACTCAGGGTGCAGCATGAGGATCCCTGTATATGCAACAGAATATTCCCACACAGCCCCACAAATGTTAGTGTGACCTTCAGAGGGTGCTGCTTGGACACAACACAGTGCTGCAGCAAGAGCAAGTGGGATAGGAAAGGAACAGGCTAAAAGGGAGGAAGCAACATCTGCAAAGGAAGTGTGTCCACATTCCTCTCCTGCTGGTCCCTGACAACTTCCGAGAGTACGAAAGCATCCAAAGAGCAGCACGTTTTCCCTGAGGTAAAGCTGTCACATGTTAAATGATAGGAAGGGGGTACAAAGAAGAGTAACAGACCTGTACTTTTTGTTACCCACCAAGGAAACTGCTGTAGGACAAATGGGAAAAGTCTCTTCCAGTTTGGCATGCTCAACAGCACAAAGCAAAGTATGACTTCAGGCATCACATTTTCTTGTGATTAGCATTCTCCTTCAGACAGGAGCAACAGCCAAGTGGGTCCTCCATACCATTTTAATTAAAAAGGTTACCAAAACAGGGTTGTTGGCATTGCTTGTGATGCTTGGGCAAGGGGGAATGTTCCTATCTCTCCTCTCTAACTCTTATAGGACTTTCTTCACTCTAACAGAAGGGATTTGGTGCTAATCCAGGCAGGGGGCATTCTGCTATCTCCAAGGCAAGCTGAAGTGGGGACACAGGGCACTGCTGCTGTCAGTTTTCCAGGGAGGTTCCTAGGAAAGTCCGAGCTGCCATTAGGTAGATGGCAGTGGCCCTGCCAGCATTTTGAAGGAGGTTATAGGGTGGCTTGCTGCCCTTGCCAGCATGCTTCCTGAAGTGTCGGCAGGAAACAGGAAGTGCTTAAGCTCACAGTGAGACAGAATGGAAGAATCCTATAAACAACATTAAAATGCAAAGGAGAAAGGAAAAATCTCTGCTTTTAATACAAGAGGAGGAGGCCAGAATACAACCCTGGATCTGGAGGGGTTAGGACCTTGCTCCAGGGCCAAGCAAGCTCAGCCTCAGAGGAGCAGTCAGTGCTTTGCACACCCTGGACAAGCTTGCAAAGTGCTTCAGCGAGCAGACAAGGGCAGAGCTGAGCAGAACAGCATCCAGGCTAAGGTAAGCAAGGAGAACCAAAGAATAAATTCCAAACAGCCATGGGAATAAATGCCTGGTCCTGCTCAGGAAGTGAAGGATATGAAGCTCCAAAAGCACAGGGAAGAGCTGGCTCCTTTCCAAAAAGGCCTTTTGAGCATTGGAGCCATCGCACTCCTGGCAGGAGTCACTGTGACAGTGCATTGCTGCACATCAGTCCTCAGGTAGGCAGGCTCTAGGAAAGGCTCCCGTGGCTGCTTGTGACAGAGAAAGCTGCATTTCTCTCTTTACAGTGGGAAAAGAGAAGATTTATCACCCCAGTAATCTTCAGAGCACATTAAGGAGTGGCAGAGGGACTGCAGAGGGCTTGGGGTTTTTGTTTTGAGGTTTTTGTGACACAGAGGATGCTTAAGATCACAAATTTATTTTCTGTAGTTGAAAATAGTACATTTTGGCAGCCCCAGTTAGTGCAGTTCAAAAGCTTTCTGGCAGACATTAAGCTGTTAAAGGCAGGAGTCTCCTCAAGTAGTTGCAGCAAGTAAAAGACCAGATTTCCTATTCCCATCACCTTAGTACAGGGACTGAGTTAAACATGCAGCTTTGGATTTAAAGCTGCAAGAAAACAGAACTGGTTTTCCTCATTTTGTTAGTGCCCAAGACCTCAGCAACAGCACAGACACACATGTGAGTACTGTAGCTACATTACAGGGTGATTTCAAATTCATTTCATGCTTTTTAGCAAGACCCAAAAGCTTGGGGAGGGGAAACACTTGCATAAGCATGCTTATTATTGGAAAAACAGACCTTATTAGCAGGGATGACTGTTTAATGGGGAAAGAAAACATTTTGCTTGGAAAAACTCTGCTTTGGGCTCCAATTATTATTTGAACGCTGCATAAAGCACTAGGGTTCACTCTGTGAAAACTAAACTATAGACTGCAGATTACTTATGTATATAAAAGTGCATCACAGATATTTGATGTCATCATCCTGAAGTTATCCTTCATCCTGTCATTTTTACAACACCTCTGTGCTCTACTTTAGATGTTATTTTGATCCTTATTGTCCCAGGCCTTTAAGTTGCCTGAATTTTGCCTGTTTCTGGGTGCACAAATATGACAAGTGAGGAATAAATTCACTAAAACTGACTGAAGTTGCACCAGGTGTATGGTGGATGAACAAAAAACAAGGACTGGATGTGGAGGTCAGTGAGATTATCAGTAGTACTTACTCTTTCTGCTGCGATAGCTGGAGAATGTATAATGATTATAGAAGAATTCAGCATGGAAAAACATCTTTACTAACCTTGCAGGATCAATAAACTTGTAGAGTGATCCATGTGGTGCATAGGCACTGGGATAAGAAGTAGACAGAAAATACAGCTCACCTAAATGGAAGTGAAAAAAAGAAAATTCAGCCTCAGGTTCAAGTGCCCAAGAAAAAAAATAAATAAAAAAAATCACAGTTTTCCATTTCTTTCCTGCCTGTCTCTTCACTAATTCACATGGTCAGAAAATCAGGAAGCTCCTTCAGTCACTCCATCAGTCATGTCTTACTTCCAAAAAGTGGGATTTGGTCTGGCCTATGCAAGTGGACTCCCAGCGGCACTAAATAATCTCTTGGCTGCAGCAGGGTTCCACACAGAACCAGCAGCTCTCAATCAAGCAGAGTGCCTGAGCAGGACCTCAGTTACCTCATATGAGCAGCCCTCCAAGAGGTTACTTTCCTCTGTATAAATATGTATTCTTTAAAACTTGTTTGTTCCAAAGCAGCAGCCAGAGCTACAAATAGAGGGGAAGATCACACATCAAATATTTAGCCATCTCAGCCATCCAAAAAAATCCCTCAAGAGCCAAACTGGCTAATCCATAGAAGACAGAAGCTTCTTATTCCTGTATGGTTGCTAAGGAGAGCAACTACGCCTCATGCCTTCCCTTCAGCACCCACTAGAACTATAACCAGGCAAACTATAGCGGACTGCAAAAGAGGCGAAACAGTTGCTGTCTTTGAGGTTACATGACAACACCATAGTGGTTTCTAAAAGAACAACCAGTAGAAGAGACATTTACCATGCACCCATTCCACATGTTAGAACAGTTAAAAGCTGTACGTATTTCACAAAGAAGCCTGCATCTCCCCGCACCTCTGATGGGATATGCTGGCCAGGTGATCCAGGATCTTACTACATTCAAATCTCTCTGAATCATGAAGCAGCTGCTTTTTGTGTTACATAGCTCTGTCAGGACACTGCACAAAAGTGAACCAAGTGTGCTTTGGTACTTTTACCTTGGTGAGAGATCTGGACATCAAGACCACAGCAATAATCCCATGTATTGAGACATTTCCACTGCATTTTAAAATGAGTGGTTTTCCTCATCCCACCCCCTCGATCAATCATCCACAGTGTGAAGTGATGCTGTTCTAAGACTGAGGAATTTATATTAATCAAGTAGGGGAAAATCAGATAAGCTGTAAGAACTCAAGCGAGGATGAGCTGTTACAGTTAAAGAACAAACTGCATCGATACAGTGTTTTCATTAATGAAATAGGATAAACCAGCAAAAGGACAGGGAAAGGATGAAACAGGAGTTCAGACTCCTAAAAGGACCTGGAGTGCTCAGACTGCAAGTTCACACGAGGATCTGTCTGCTGAGCTCTCCATCAAGCCTGTCTACAATAGCCTCACAGGGCAGGAGACCTCTCTGAACTACATACAAAACCTACCTGCAATACTGAGTTAGACACAAGCCTGTTTGCAGTGCTGGCTTTCCAGTATGTGAGGAGCAACATAATCCTATATATTTGCCCTACAGTAAGAACTGACAGTACAGTTTCCAGTAAAAGCATGGCTAGCATGATACCTACCTGCTTCATCCTCAGCAAATGAGATGATGAATTTACTGTAAGAACTGATCATTCTAGGGAAAGCACAAGTTCTTGTGCTGCCAATGCAGATATCTTGCTTCTTCCATTTATTTCTTGTCTCATCTTCCTGTAAAGCCATAAGTCGACTAGATGAAAAATAAAACCGTGTTTTACGTTTTCATCATCAAAATTAGTTCCTGTCAAAATTATTACTGAAAAAAAGTGAAGTGATTGGCTTTAATGGTTGTCTTTTGGAAAAATAGACATGAACAAAAGCAGACTTATCCTTAGAACTCTAAATTGGATAGAGAGGAACTCTTCAGCAGGGACTGTAGCAATAGGACAAGAGGTGAGGGGTTGAAACTGAAACAGAGGAAGTTCAGGTTAGAGATAAGGAAGAAGTTCTTTACTGTGAGGGTGGTGAGGCACTGGCTCAGGTTGCCCAAAGAAGTGGTGAATGCTCCATCCCTGGCAGTGTTCAAGGCCAGGTTGGACAGAGCCTTGGGTCTAGTACGGTCTAGGGAGAGGTGTCGCAGTCCATGGCAGGGGGTTGGAACTGGATGATCTTAAGGTCCTTTCCAACCCAAATCATTCTATGATTCAATGAAATGTGGATTCCAATAAACATACTGTTATAATGATCAAATAGAGAACTTAATCTAATACACAGATATCCAAGAATCTCATTTACTCCAGCTCAGAAGGTTTTGGGATACTCTAATATCCTTATTTGCCCAGATAAGGCACATGTGGGTGCAGAATGGGAGCTGCAGAGAAGACAGTCTCACCCATTCATGAAATCACCAAAGATGTAGAGACCATTCAAGTTGGGCGATTCACATCCTCTGTACACATAACCTCCAGTAACCGACTTCCCCACGCTGCGGCCATATGCAAATATTGGAAGAATGTCATCTGTTAAACATAGAATAAGAAATGACAAAATTTATGGATATAAATCCAGCATCAAAAACCAACTGGTCAATGCCACTGACAAGCATAAACATTACTAGAACAGCCAGTACAGATGCACAAACAGTATCCCCAGGGAACTAGTGGATCCCCCAACACTGGACACATTTAAGATTTGGCTGGACAGGGTGCTGGGACATCAGGTCTAGGTCATGATTTGGCCAGAAAGGTTGGAGCAGATGACCCTTGAGGTCCTTCCAATCTGGGTGTTCTAGGATTCTAGCTAAATATCAGTGGGAATAGAGTAATTTACTCCACGACAAAAAAGACCCAGGGACTTTAGAGAGCTCCCTTATCAAGACTTGTCCATGATGAACTTTCATAACACATAGGACCAAGATTCTCTGCATCAAGCCAGCAATATAGAAAGGTATCAGCCTGCAGGAAGTCAATATTAGAGGTTTGTTACTGCACTAATCATTTTATCAGGGATTGTCTTTAGAAATTCCAGCATTGTTAGAAAAGTAATAACACCAAACAACTACAAGTTAACAGTTTTATAGGTTTACTGACATCCTCAGCACAGAACACATGTGTGACCACCACTTTATGTCTCATAACTATGAGACTCATAAAATAAAGGCTTTGACTCTGGCAATGTTAAATTCAACGCTAACATCAAACCTTTCTTGAGTTGAATATCAGATCCCACAAAATGCTAGTCTTGTCCTCACTTATTTCCTGTGGATCAAGTAGTTTCTGACCTTTAATGATGGGGACAAAGATCACAAATGCAACTCATTAACAACTGCAGATTAACAGCAAAATCTAATTCAGATTTGTTGGTAAATGAGGATTAGGCCTTTTTAAAAAACCATAGCCATGGCTCGGAGCTTCTGAAGAAAACACAGTATTGCTTCCCTACTTACACCAAATCCATTGCCTTCCTGACTTCACTGGTAAGGCTCTGTCTGTCTGCAAAAAACATGGGCTTTAACCTAAGCACCTTGTCCAGTGCAGCATATAGAATGGAATTCCCTGAACAAGCAGGGCATCATTTTATACCAGCACTGCAGGGATGGGGAGAAGGGATTTCTGCTCTTAAGAAGTAAACAATCTCCATTTAACACACAACTCTGGATTATTTAGCTTCACTGGAAGAATGGTGCGATAGTCCACTAAATACATTTGTATAATAAAGTAATCTTCTATGAGACACTTCTTCCTTACCCAAAGAGGAATTGTGGCAAAGCTTTGTGTCGTAGCATTCAAATCCCTCCTTTGCTCTCCAGCCGTAGTTCCCTCCTTTAACAATGAGGTCAATTTCTTCAAACCTGTTCTGCCCAACATCTCCACAGAATATCCTCCCTCTTCCCTTCTTCGTGACAGGGTCCCCTCTGTCAACTGCACAGCGCCACATATTCCTGACCCCATATGCATAAACCTCAGGGCGGGCCTTAGGATCAGACACAAATGGATTATCAGGAGGGATGCGATAAGGCTTTCCATCAGGGCTTCTTCCATCCACATCAATTCTCAGGACTTTCCCCAACAAAGTACTCCTGAGGAGAATGACAGAAAAAGAAACCCCAGCATGAGAGCCAACTGAAAACACAATTCCACTTTTCCAAGGGGAAGTTCTCTCTCCAAATAAAGCAACCAGTATGTCTTGTAACTGCTCAAGTCCCAGAAGACTCTCTCCTCTCTAAATATAGAATCGTAGAGTTGTTTGGGTTAGAAAGGACCTTAAGATCACCCAGTTCCAACCCCCTGCCATGGGCAGGGACACCTCACGCTAAACCATGCCACCCAAGGCTCTGTCCAACCTGGCCTTGAACACTGCCAGGGATGGAGCATTCACAACTTCGTTGGGCAACCCATTCCAGTGCCTCACCACCCTAACAGGAAAGAACTTCTTCCTTATATCTAACCTGAACTTTCCCTGTTTCAGTTTGAACCCATCAGCCCTTGTCCTGTCACTACAGTCCCTGATGAAGAGTCCCTCTCCAGCGTTCTTGTAGCTCCCTTCAGACACTGGGAGCTGCTCTGACATCTTGGATTTCCCTCAGCTTTCAAAATGTAGAATGCTAATTGTTGAACTACTGCATTGACCAGACTGGCAGATGCACAAGCACTTTCAGGAAGCACTCTTATTCTTTCACATTGTCTCATTTGCAAAACCTTCTATCTTGGTGAACAAGCTCAAAGCTTTTACTTGCCCTCCTACTTACGTGTTCTGAGCATTCCCAAATGTTCCAAAAGGGTCTCCTGCTTTCCCTCCATCCCCTGTGAACAGATACATGTAGCCATCCACTCCAAAGAGCAGCTGCCCACCATTATGATTTGCGGCTGGTTCCTCAAGCTCCAGGAGATTCCTTAAAAGAAAGAGGGATAAATAAGTCCAGATGTAGCTACTGGGAAGGACTGAACATCCAGGCAGGCTGCAGAAATACTGCATTGCTTCTACAGAAGAAAGCCAAGACTTCCCAGCTGTACAGATCTTTCATTGCAGCAGGGGGGTTCTGCTTTCTTATATGAGAAGCAGTTGGTGAATTTGAGGGCTTCAGAACCACCTTGTGGTGACTGTGAAACTCAAGAGGAAATAAGTCTGCTATTAACAAACTCTACCCCATAACTGAAGTTTAGCTTCTTCCCAGGGAGATAGGGCAGGTGCACATGTCAGATTAAATGAATGTATAGTACATTTATTTTTAGTGAATCACTCCTGATCCCTTACTGTCCAAAATACTTTTAGAGCAGATGTTAATTTCACAATAGGCTTAAGGCTATAACTGCTCTTTAGAAGCAAAAGTACAAGATGGAGAGAAGACAACCTGGAATCCTAGATCCTGAATCCTCTTTTCAGTTTCAACCCTAGCTTGCTGTGTGACCTTGAGCCAACCTTATCTCTGATAGCTTCATGCAGCTGTACCAGGGTAACTGGGAATGTGCAGGTTCTTCAAGTGGAAAGGACAGGGAAAAATACTTTCTCCTGGTGGCATGCAGTAGCATTGAACAGGAATTTTACCTTTCTGAGCGTGGATCTGCTTTGTTGGCATCAGATGCCAAAACCTTCAATTCACTAATCCTGATCTTTTCCACTCGGTTCTTATCCATGTATGAGTAATAGATATAAAACTTGCCGTTGTCCTTGTACTTGGGGTGGAAAGCCATCCCCAAAAAGCCCCTCTCATCCCCTAGCCATGGCGTAGCCAGCACTAGACTTCTAACATCCAGAAAGGGCTCCTCCAGCCGACTACCATCAGGTAGGTAGACCCAGATGACTCCCACTTGCTCTGCTATGAACATGCGGTGGGTATGGTCATTTGCATGCACCATGAGCACTGGGTTCCTCAGGCCGTTGGCAACCTCTGTTAGGCAAAGCTGGAGACAGCCTTTGTGGTCCTCCACTACTGAGCCCAGGTTGGTGTTGAGGGCTGTGTTCTTCAGCACATTGGGGAAGCAGTAGTCCTCATCGTGGAGGTGAAGGAGGTTGCAAAAGTGTGTCCTGTTTGTCTCGCAGCATTCCTGGATGTGTCTATCACTGGTCAGCAGGCTGATGGCAGAGGGGCAGTTGAAATGAAACTCGGAGCAGTAGTCAAAACAAAGCCCTGGGATGTTTCTCAGAGGTGTCTGAGGGTTTTCTGCATCATAGAGATGTGCAGCGTATGGAGAACATTCCTGGGAAGTAAAAGAAATGGAATATGTGGCTGCGTACACACATCCAGAAGCCAGGACACCTTCATGGAAGCAAACTGGTCACTAAAGTGGAAACTCAGTAAAGCAGGGAACATCAGTCACCCCCACAGACGGTGTTTGCCTGGCAAACAACATCTGCAGCACACAGACCTAGCAGGAGATGGTGGCCATTCCTCAGGATCTACATAAACTCCCAGGATGACATGGCCTTGCCAATCACTGTTGTCTGCTTTCATTTCATTGTGCATGAAACAACACAATCCTACTACTTTATACAGCAGATTCAGCAGAAGCTGCTAAGATCAAGATGATACTTTTGTGCTGTTTTGTAACTGTGCCCAAAAAGAGTGTGCATTCAGCAATCACAGGGTTCAGGTTAAAGCAGTTTAACAAGTATGTTACTTCCCCTGCACTAGTTTCTATCCCATGCTAATATTATGGCTTTCAATCAGCTTGAACAAGGTCTAATTGGCCTTTTTGGGGTTTTAAGTCTCTCTTGTAGCAGTTTTCTGAACAGAGAAGCATCCTTTCAGCCATCAGCCAAAGAGCTGTTATAGTGCATGCAGCAAGGTTTGCACCTATAGCCACACAACTTGTACAGCACCTCCTTAAGAACATTACAGGCAGTATTCAAAGTTCAATATTCAGTTTTTAGGCTAAACCCTAGAATGGTTCAGCTGAAGGTCAGACTCTAACCTGCAAATGCTTAGAACAAGTGTAGCTAGTGAAAATAAACCCAGATCTTGCCTGATGCAAACAGATGCAGCTCTACCAGCAGGGCCAGAATGCTTTAGATGCCTTTTCCAGCATGTTAGTTTTCAGCAGATACGTATCTGGTTTATAGTGAGCAGCAGAAAATCCATGTTTCAGAACACATCCCTATTTAATCATATTCTATTTATTAAGAAACACACTCGGAGTGCCAATGTGAGGTGCACTCCATAGCATCCTTCTTGGGCACTGCAGGCCCCAAAACCAGGTTCCTCTGTGCAAGGCTCAGCACCACTCAACGCCCACCAGGAAGGCTGGGAAGTTGTCTGGGTTTATGGTCTGCTGGTTTGGGCACTGAAGGACCACCTAACTGAATGAACTGCTTTGTTACAATGCATTGCTACTGCTCTGATCTCACCCAAAGGTGGGGTAGAATGCTGTTCTTGCTAAATTAGAGCATCAACTAATAACTCTGGTTTATCAAAAAGCCTCCTCTTTCTTGAAGCTCATTTTGGTCTAAAGACAAAACTGTTGCTATTATTTTGTCTACCACCGCTTCTGAGACTAATCTGTGTGTCCCGAGTTCCATGTGAATAACAGCAAGAAAAGCACTTGTTACAGCAGTTTATCTGAAGTCCTGCCATACACAGCAGAAGAGCACTTGGCAGTTAAATCCTGATTACATATCAACATCTGCCTTCTTGTATTTGATATAGCACTAAGGCAGCATGTACTTAGTGACTACAAACTACCAGGATACTGTGGAGGGGATAGAACGGAGATGTCATTTTCCATCCCTTCAGTCAGAATTTGACTGAGCAAAGCAGCTTCACTAAAGCAAAAACGTTTGGTAGATCTTTGCTCCTCCACTGATTTCACAGCCAAGTAAGATTTGCCAGAGAACCGAACCTCATTGTCACCAACCTGAACAGGAAGAGCAACACCCAACACAATCACAAGCTCCAAACCCTAACAGCAATCAGACTAAAAGGTATGAAAAGAGCAATAACTTATTACTTTGAAAAATCCAAAAGAAAATATAAGGGTAGTTTCGGGTTTTTTTGCTACAATATACCCAACAAATGTTAAATACATTATATCCTGCAGAATGAGCAATGCAGCAAGTCATTTCCATAGAGGGATTTTTCTACTTACAACATGTAGAAAACTCTTCATAAAACCAACACTGTTGGTTCTGCCAGGAGCTGTAACCTGTCTTTTTCTGGTTTACTAACTGCAAACTAACAACCAACCCTGATGCTGCTTTTTCCAGCCTTGGTGCTGAAAGAGTGTCCTTTCTGAGGAGATGCCACAATGTTGCCAGCATCCAAAAAGAGTGGAAACATTTTGGTACACAGACAATATTTTAGGGCTAAGAAAATATTAATTAGAGAAGATTTACATGTTCTTAATAAGATTAAATGTGTCTTTTGCCTGTTGTGTGTTTTGGCATGTAGTAACTCCAGCTCTGCATCACTAACGGTTGTTAAAAAGGCAGGTCAGTTCTGCTCTCTAACTCCAGGGAGGCTTAGGAAAAACAGTGTCTTTGGTCTTTTCTCACTCCATAATGCCTGTTTCCCTGAGTTTGTTGGACAGTGGAGACAGAGCACTGATGGAAATGCAGTGAGACTGAAGCCTCAGCTGTGTGAAACCACTGCCTGGTAAGGTTTGTTTCACTTAACCATTTGGAGCATCCTTGCCAGGAACAGAATCGACATACATCCTTCACACAGTCCAGGGATCCAAACACTCAGGCTGATAATTCCCAGCTACCGTTTGATCCTGTAGACTTTGTAATCCAGCACCTAGCAGCTAAAAGAAGCAAATATTGATCTGTAACTTCCCCTCATGATGAGAAAGTGAGCAGAGCAGCCCGATTGCCATCATGAGCCACATCAATATCACTAGGTATCGCCAGATACCACAAAGGGATGTACCTCACACAAAGCACTTTGTGAAACGCATGCCAAGGATTAGGTACCATTAGTCTGTCAGCCCACTTTTCCCCTGCTCCCAGCACCTCTTCCCACAGCAACATAGCTAGCTGTAAGAGACTATCAGAACCACAACTGACCCCCAAGTCAGCCCAAAGCATAGGATACAGATATTGTTTTTCTGCCCTACCTGACAGAGGATATCTTTGATATATGTCCCACACAGCTTATGCCCCTGGGGATCAATATAATCCATGATGTCCCAGTATTTTGCTGCAATGCTGTTGTCTCTTTCCTGGTCACAGCAGCCAAAATTCTCATAGGCAGAGCAGAATTCCAAATGAAAAGGGGGCTGGAAGGGTGGTCCATAATCCAGACACTGAGGATGTGCCAGCAGACAGTTTATGAAGCACAATACGGAGAGGTAAAGCAAAACATGTGGGCAAAAAAAGGAAACTCCAGAGCTGCTGCTGCTCCTTCCAGTGCATGGCCAAACATTCACTTCCTTCAGTGCAGGTTTCTTGAGGTCAGATGTATAGAAATCCTGGACCTCTTCGTAGTATGGTTCATTCATCCTCTGTGGTTTATTAACTGCCAGCCACAGAGCTCAGCATTCACTCAGGTTTGCTTACATTCTCTCCCTTTTTCTCTCTCTGAAGTTTACTACTTGGCAGGAGAGAAACCCTCCAGGCTGCCTCTCTGGTATTTCACACGTCACATAGCTGAACCCTCCCCTCTGGACACCTCTTAGATGCTTAGAAGCACTCACAGATCTAATTCTTACATCTTGGTTTAAACTGGCTGAGAAATCCTTCACCAAGAAATACAAATAACAAAAATATGAACTATGATACCTATATAGAGAACACTCTAATCCCTCCCCATTTACAAAACACAAGTGAATAGTATTCAACTGCTAACTCCATTTTACTCAGCTTTTAAGATTCACCAAACCTGAGGCTGGTTTCATACGGACTGAGAAAAGGTCATAAAATCAACCAAATTAAGGCAGCAGTTAACCTGAAGTACAAGTAACTTCAGGACACGAATTTTTACAGAGATACTGCTATTACCCACAAATCCAGATACACATTCATGGTTAAAATAAGAAGAAATTAAGAAAGACTGACGAAGTAAACACCCATTTACGGCACCAGCATAATCTGCAGTTGACTCTAATGTTCTGTGTTAACCCTGTACTTAAGCTCGTTGATTTTAGTGGGTTTGATCACAGCTGATAGTTAAACCCATTTAAGGACGCACAAGATTCTTGCCTACTTTCCCCTCTGGTGAAGGATACCCAAGCATGCCCTGCAGTTAGTGAAGCACAGCATCAGCTCCGTGCGCAGGACAACCACGTGTACACCTTGTACCCAGGCTGTGTTTGAGAATGACACTTCCCCAACTCTGCTCTCCCCCAGTTTAATCACAACCAAGCTCCTTTATCACTCCACCAAAACCAAGCGTTTTCCTTTGACAGAGACATCACTAATAACAAGGCAACAGAGCACTCCTCACCACTCTGCTGCACCACATGAGTTCAGGCTGAGCAGTGACCCAAGGAAGACAAGTATCTTCACTTTGCAGTTGCAGGAGCGCTCTGCTAGCCTGATGCTGCTAGGAAGAGGCTTTAACACGCACACATTCCCTAGATGTTTCCATACAACAGAAGTTACTAGAGGGCAAGGCTTTGTGATCAGTTCTATTGCTTCTGAGACGTCAGTGAGGAATAAAGCAATTTTTAAAAAGGCAATTAGAGTCTCTCCTCCCTGCAAATCCTAGGAGAAATTACTACAGCCAATGCACAGATATGCATAGAGAATCTATCTGTATGTAGCCCAAAGAAGTCACAACTCCCAGTCCTAGTTTCAAAATGCAACCACCAGTGTAATGTGACAGCTGAGAATACTTTGTGTTTATGGAGTCTTTATTGGGAAACACTTGTTTTAAAAACCTCTGGGGTTTTAACATGCTTCTCTTTTGCTCTGGCTCTAACTTAACGCCACTGCCAATAATCCTGTCTCTGCTTAGACTTCAATGAACTGGAAACACACCAATCACAAGACTCAGCACTGTCACGAGATAAAGCATTTTAAACCCAAGTATTTAAATCTGCTGAAGCATCAGCTTATCTCAGTTATTGCTCTCATACCTTGCAAACAATTACTAAAGGCATTAACGTCCTGTAGCAACTATCTTATATTGAAGCCACAACAAACAGGATCAGTGAGGATATTTGCATACTCCTCATTTGTAACTGAGGCCTGAGAATTCCCTATAAGTTTAATTCCTTTAGCATTACAGAGCAATTTGGGGTAATTGACATTACTAGTTACTGGATATTTCTGACCAGGAGGCAAGAACACTCCTTGCTGCACCCCTGATGAGGGCAGAAAAACCAGCATAGCCTTAAGCACATTCTGACAATGAGAGAACACACAGAGCTTACTGCTTACATTATCCAAGGACTCCTTGCAGTGGGCAATCTGGTTTTGCTTGGCCAACAAACCACCTCAGCCATTCTTTAAATGCAACAAAAGACCAGGTGGAACTTTGCATTTACCATAGTGCATCAGGACACCAGTAGCAGAAATCCCTGAAGAACTTCAAATTCAAACCAGTTCACAGCACATCAATCCTCTGATTCCACAGGAAGTACTCCAAGGGTAAGGTAGACACTTGTTCTGTGCTGACAATGTGCTTACACTGCTCTGAAGGCAGAGGCAAGTCCTCCCAAGGTCTCCAGAATGAGACAGCTGCTCAGAATACAGAGAACCTGAGAACCTGGCGGGGAAAAGCAAGAGCGACAGAGCACATGGGGTTGGCATGCTTTAAGAAGCAGCTGACACTTCATTAGCTTGCTTTTCTTGAACATCAGTAAAGGCACCCTTAAAACAGGAAAGCACAAGAGCATGGAAAATATGACAGGGAAAGCAGAGTGAGCTGAAGTGCTTTGCAATTTTGTCTTCTTGTTACATTAGGTTTTAATACTAAAAACACCAGAACAAGAGGTGGGAAAACAAAGGGACAACAGACCAGACACCGGGTCTGTGCAGAAAAGTTCCTTGCCTCAGCATAAAGTAGAACAGCAAAGAAAATACATGCTATTTGTTTCATGGAAGGGGGTTGAAAATCCTCACAGAAGTTTTACACTTCAGAGGATGAAGACCACAATTTGTCAGAAACCCAAACCTAGGGCAGAATTTGGAGCCAAAGCAGAATACTCTAATCCACTCAGAGTTACCATATTCCAAGTACAACACACAGGCTTGAAAACCTGGTATGCTCTGAATAGTTTACACAAGAAAATTCACTCAGGACTTGTGATGTGCAGATTTGTCTCAAGTGTTAAGTACTGTGATGTCAGGAAAGAGCAAGTTTCTTGCAGGACATGAAAGCAATGAGCAATGCTAAAGATAGTTACATGAAAGCTGGGACTATGCTGCTCTTCTGTTTGCTGACTGTAATATAGTAGTTCCAGCAGCAGGAGAGAACAGGATCCCTGCCAGCAATCCTGCTTCCAGAGGTCATAGGAGAAAGCTGTGAGCACAAAGGATTAACAGCTTTTACAAAGGCATAAATCTTCTCTTTGTCCTCTTATTCTCCTTACAGCATCCTTCTTACCTCCACCTCAATTTCTGCTGCTTTGTTTCACTCTTCTTCCTCAATAGATGGTTTCGGAGCTGCTGCAAGGCAGACATCTACAGGCAGCTTAAGGGACAGAAGGGAAATGACACAAGAGCTCTCAACAAGCAGCAGGGGCTCTAGCATTCCATTTTTATACTAGTTGTGTTAGGTTGATGATAAAAGCTCCTCTGCATGCCCATGAAAGAACACAAAGATACAATAGAAGGGGAAACCCAAATACCACCCTGCTGGGATGCTCCAAGCCCATCACATGCATGTCACCAGCCCACCAAAGGTCCATCTTTACAGGTTGAGGAGCAGAGCAGGAAGGCAGGGAGACAAACAAGGACTCCAGGGAAGGAACACCCTGCCTGGTTACCTCCCAGGACAGCTTTAGCTGCACTGTCTAGGCAGGAAACCCACCAAGGGGAGTCATTGGGAGCAACAATGTGGATCATCTTTAGACTCAGGGAAAGCCACTGCTTCCCAGGGGTGTGGGACACCTTATAGGATGCTGGAAATAGCATTCTGAAACCTCACAATCAACATGAAATAGTCAAAGCCCTGTTGATGAACTCCAGGAAAAAGCAACCCCAACTATTATAGAACAAGCCTGTCTTAGGGAATCAAAACTGCAGACACCACAACAACACAGGTCAGGAGCAAGGAATAATAGCCTTTTTTGGTACAACATACATGTATGGCAAGTAGTTTGATGTTTAAGACACTTTGTCTTAAGGCACATTTCATGAGACCCATATTAACCCAGCCTAAAATCCCAGATAAACACTCAGCTTTTAGAAGCAGAGCTGTACTTATCCATATACTGCCACACTATTAAAGACTGCTTTATTTTATCCCCAGAAGCAGTTCAAGCAGTTCATCCACCAAAGTTCTACAGACCTGTCATTAAAACAGAAGTAGTATTTGGAAACCATTTTGTTGTTGTTTTCAAGCAACCTGGAACACCAGTTTGCGATAACACATTAACATTTGCTTTCCAAACACACCAAACTCATCTCATAGACAAGACTATAACAAGATTAAATAAGTCTCTTCCATCAGGTAGAGAAGTTTGCAGTAGTTCTGTGCTTTTGCTCTTCCAAAGCATTGCAACATTAGCTTTCCTCTGCAGCCATGCAGCTACAGCAATCCTTAACTCTCCTACCAGTCATATGAGAACAAGCCCTGAACTGGACACACAGAAAATTGCCTTTGGATACATTGAAGTGCACCATCTCTTTAAAGAAGCTGCAGTAGATCTTCACAACATGGAATTCTTCTCATATACAATGCACAGAAAAACCTCTCAATTTTTCATAGATTTCAGGAATGATCAGATATAAGCAGCAACCTATGTAACCTTTGAAGGGTGAGGTGTTTTCACAGTGCACCACATGCTTAATGCTCCTAGGTTAAGACACTACCCCTGTGAATACCACTGCTAGTCCTGAATGGATTTTAAGCTACGTTTCAGCAGTCATTTAAATCACCATCTATGCACCTAACCATGAGGATCAAGCCTACTATACTGCTGACACAGAAACTCCACACCATACAACTAAATATTTTTCAATATGTATTGGAAATCAATACTGTTTGCATTTCATACAGAAAGATGGGACTAATCTTAAAGAAACTCCCCAACCTTATCAGTTGTTTTATATTCATTTTATTATAAAATAAATAAAAGCCAAAGCACTTTTTTATAGAAATATATTAAAGTCTAGTCCTGAGTCAATAGGTGCTGCCTAGAAGTTCTAGAATGCCAGCTACAAAAGTCAGTTTCACAAAGATGAAGAAGCACAAGAACCTTAAGGACGTCTTCTAATCAAGGCTGTACAGAAGACTCAAAGACCAGATATTCTCATGTAGGCAGGATTGTGCTTATGCACAAACTTCTTCAGTATCCGAAACCTTTTCATCTGAGCTTTGCAGCCTTGATGGGATATGTATTTAAAGTACTTGTCATCTAGGGGGAAAAACAGAAAGGCATCGTAAGTTATAGCATGATATAAACAAATACAAAACGCTTTCATTGTTTAAATAACATGCAAGCATTTCAGGAAGTTTTCAGTGATGATTTCAATAATGAAAGGTAATAAAATAATCCAATACATGCCCGTGGCAGAGGGTTAGAACTAGATGATCTTAAGGTCCTTTCCAACACAAACCATTACAGGGCTCTACACACACTGGAGCACAATTGCAGCTTTAAATAACCTATACTCATTTGACACAGAAAACATTCTACATGTATACAACAAGGGGTGATGGGTTTAAAGTGAAACAGGAAAAGTTCAGGTTAG